TCTCCAGAACCAGATAAGTCTCCTGAGGTAATCTGTTCTCCAGAACCAGAGAGATCTCCTGATGTAATCTGTTCTCCAGAACCAGAGAGATCTCCTGAGTGACCCCCAGAGTCACCACTGACTGCAGACCCTGAGTCGACGTCTGCGGAACCCGAGCCAGAGCCTGATGACTCCACAGGGATTGGAGGTTTGATGGAGGGAACAGCTGAAAGCAGAAAACAGAGAAGTGTGAGGAATGTGGTGAATGAAAGGGAAATTGAAAAAGATGAAGAGCAATTTGTTGTTACCAGGCCTCAACAAATCAGTGATGGTCAGGTTCAGGAGCGCCTCCTGGATATCTGTGATGTTCAGTCCAGTTTCATTTGCAATAAGTAGAACATCAGCTGCAGGGATTTCACAATAAAAGAAAAAGATGAAGGAATTACTGAGACAAATGATGAGCACGTCATGAACAGTGTTTACCTCTGAAGCAGTAAGCATCAAATCTGGCGTTGCGTCCAGGGAAACGTGTCTGGTTGGGGGGAGCGTACACGGTGTGAACTCCAGACTTCCCTGCTCCACACTCGGCTCGGGGGTTGTTGATGGGATAACGGACGCTCACATCAAGCAGCCATCCAGCACGGCACTTGTCGAAACCCATTCTCCAGGCTGCGTAGAGCTCTCCAGGGGAGGCCAACATGGCGTTTTGCTCTCGACAGCTGGAAGAAGCTTCATCAAAGGTGAAGCCCTCAGCAGATCCCACATGGAACAACTCACCTGAGGAGCAGAAGAGATGAGAGCGTCTGAACTTCGTAACAAGATAAAAAGTCAAAGCAAATCATCATATTTCGTACCTTTGAGCCCGTCAGCGTAGCAGTACACATCATATCTCTCGTCTCCAGGCCTCAGACCGTACGACCGAACTCCAGGTTTATCCCCAAGATCTCCAGCGCACTTATCTCGAGGGAAAACAACGGGATACCTGGAAAAGATGTGATGAGCTTTTAAATCTTTTTAAGCTCAGGAATCTCTGTACCTGCTCTGAAGATGTATTTCATCACCTTACAGTCTGGTCCAGTACCCATCCTGCATCACACTGGTGATATCCAGCCTCATATGCTGCCTGCAGCTGCTCTGCTGTGGCGATGGAAGCTCCGACGCTCTGACAGGCCAGTTGAGCTTCAACGAAGGTGAACAGGTAGCGACCGGAACCTGAGCGGTAATGGAAAACCACGCCTGCATCCACCAACAAGAGGAAGGTTGTGTTGTGGAAACGTTTTTTAAGGAGAAATGTCATCACCAGCGAATCTCAATGGACTTTTCTCATCACATGCATCTGCAGTTCTATTACTGACCAGTAGGAGGCATCACAAAGCCTTTGCTGGGTTCTCTGCCTACGTCGGGCCGGGCGGTGACGGAAACTATCAGGTCGGTGATGAGCTCGGTGACGTTGGGCGGCTGAAGCAGCGGCAGCTCGGTGGGACTTTCCGTGAAATCCACCACGGTGGGTCGCTGAGTCTCCAGCTCTCCTACAGCTTCACTCTCTGTGGTCGTCCTCCTGAAGAACACCTCAGGGCCCTGCGTCACCGTGGTAACACTCAGAACGCCACTGCCCTCCTCTATGAGGCCTGAACCTTCATCTTCAGGAGACTCTGAAGATGAGGGGGGAGGGGTTAGGGTTTCTGTCTTCTCATGTTCACAGAGACAAACGGCTCCCACAGGTTCTTCACTTCAATGATCACATTTACTCTCTCAGTGTTTCTTCAGGGCTTTTAATGTGAAAGTTTGTCACAACTTTATTTCTTTATGAATTTTAACTGACAAAGGTGATGATGATGTGATGATGTGATGATGTTCATGTCCACTCACTCACCTGTGTAGCAGAAGCAGTCGTAGCGAGCTTCAGGAGGGGGGAACCCTGTCTGGTTGGCGTGGAGGTAAACGGTTCTCACTCCCAGCAGACCTCCTCCACACTGCGGCCGCCGGATGTTGATGGGATAGCGGACGCTCCGGTCCCGCAGCCAGCCGGCGTTACACACGTCCATCCCCCCCTGCCAGGCCAGGTAGAGCTGACCTGTGGTGGCCAGCTGAGCTCCCTGATTGGAGCACGCCGCCACAGCCTCAGAGAAGCTGAACTTTTCTGCGGCGGCCGTGTAGAACACTCTGCCTGTATCACATGAGACAGGTTCGTTAGAATGAGCCAGTGAATAATGGGAGAAGGAGCTGAAAGTACAGAGGGAGAACACAACCTGTCATCTTCTCTGAGAAACAGTACACGTCAAAGGTCTCGTTCAGGTCTCTCACTCCGTACGTCCTGACCCCCGGCAGCTCCTCTTTGTCCCCGTAACACTGCACACGAGGGTCATGGATCGGGTACCTGAGGTTTAATGAGCTCTGTTATCATCAGTGTGAGGAACTCTCTAATATCCCAGACGAAATAAGAACTTTCAAAAGGTTTTTAAATTCTCCTGTTGATGGAACAACTTTTCTGCTGCACAACAACTTCTCCACCTTTTCACTGGTCCTGTTTGTTTTTGTCTTAATATGTTCAAGACAGTTTTGTTCTGTACTTTTACCTTCGATACTTGAAGTAAGTTTTTCTTTTTTTGAATGAAAGATTCATTTATAATGTAATTATAAGTATTTCTACTTGCAGCGTTGCTACTTTGACACAACAGATATTTGTACAAACTGCTCTGTCATTTGATGAATGTGGAGGAGGCTCGGAGCTCCAGGTGAACCAGGGAGAGTTGATTGTCACAGCTGAAAGTCATCAGCTGACAGAGAGAGAGACAGAGAGAGACAGAGAGAGAGACGGAGCTGAGCTGCTGAGACTAAACTGCAGAAAGTTTATGTTTAGTTTCATTTCTGTTTTTCTGTTAAAAAAAACCAAGATGCTAAAAAGCAGATGATTTTTCTCTGGGAAACAACGGTGGAGTCCCACAGTAAAAAACAAGGTCTTCTAAAAAACATTTAAAAGATGCTAAGCTGTTGTCCTTGGTCCTTTCACAGTATTTGTAAGTGTGAATTGTTGACAGAGGGCAGAGGTCACAGACTGACCTCACTGTGTGATCAGAGAGCCAGCCGGCGTCACATTGGTGGAAACCGCCATCGAACGCAGCTTGGAGCTGTTCAGGTGAAGCCACGACTGCACTGTTCTGTGTGCACGCCGCCGTCGCTTTTTCAAACGTCAGACTGTAGCGACCCATGATGGCTCGGTAGTGGAACACGATACCTGAGGACAGAGACGGGGACTTTAGAGGTTTGTTATTGGTCAGTAACAAAACACTAAAAAACCTCAAAGCTTGATCATCATCCAAATTTAAAGTTTAAAAACAGAAGCTGATTAGAAATGTGTGAATGTTTCTTATCTTTTCTTTTGGTTTTGACAAAATAAAATAA